ACAAGTCCGAAAACGACGACAGTTCTGCATTTCACGACGGCAAAAAACAAGAAGTCACAAGCGAACCAAATTGAGAAGTCACAAGCGAGCCCCGGGAGAAGTCACAAGCGAACCCTCTACCCTCTTGGGACCCATCCCTCAGGACCCGAGCTGAGCAGTGACAGCTAATCACGAGGAGCCTTAAAGCTGGAATCAAAAATTCCTTCCACCACAACACCCTGTGAGCTGCCAGACGACACTACGCAAGGCATGCGTGAGAAATTCTGTACAAGCGTAGGGTCCGGGTCTGACGATGAAAGCTGCCAAGAGGTCCACGCAAAGGTCTGAGGGCTCTCAAACGCCGTACCATACATCCGAATTGCAAGTAACACGACTTGGAGGGCTGCCCGGCTCTGAGCGAGGCTTTCTCCACAAGCTGAAGTAAAAGGCTCAAGGTATACTTATATCTCTACATCCACAAGCTTTCGAGATTTGTAGGGTTTGGCGCCGACGGTAGGGCTGCTGCAAGGGCTTCTGCTGAACCTTCTCAACTCCGCAAGGAACCGGAAACTTGAGACCAGCTTGTGCCCAAAGCCTGCAAATCTACAACAGTTGACCCTCATCTCCAGTGCTGGAAAAAGGCGATGAAACCTCTCCATAAGTGCAAACATTTCCAGATTGCCCTGGAACAATTGTAAGCGGCTGTAGCATCTTTCACATGTTCGGTTATACTCAAGGCCCAGCAAGCCGCAATGATTTGAAAATGCCAAAAAAATCCCAACATGCTTTGAGTCGAAGCAGCTTGATTGCGCTCAATTTACAGGAAGCGGTCAGAGTGAGCATCTGCGATCGGTGTAGTCTCTTTAACTAGCAGCAGACATCCAACAACTCAGCAAATTATCAAATATGATGAGAGCATACGCGGCTTGAATGGTTGGAGGACTTTGCCCATCACCATGTGGCTAGAAGGCTTCGGAAAAGGGTTCTGGTTGAAAGATTCAAGGTTGCATGCCTGCGGCTCCGGGCGTTAGGATTGGCGAAGCCAGAACCTAAAGATCATTTGCGCAGGCAGGTGCGCACGGCTTGCGCTGACATGCACGAACCCAAGAACCTGATAAGAGCTTTGTGCCTGTGCCCAGACACACGGGTTTCTCCAATCTCAATTCCTGACCTGCCTTCTACGACATCTCCACGTCCTCTTCTGGAAACGCTGGTGCCGGGCACGGGGTGGGAAACTGATGCACGACCTGTCACACTGCATTCCAGCCATGAATCTTCTCGGGGGTCCTATCTTCTCCAGGCTGCAATCAAAAAACCATGCTGAACAAGCTACAGCTCGCAAGCAAGACAACAGCACAAGAAAGACCACCATCACTGAGCTCGACATACCACAATGCAAGGGGCAGAGGCTCTCATGGAGAACAAGTGGCGGTCTGGCCTTCTTGCGATTCAATCCACCTCCAATGCCTTGCAGTGAGCTCGTCGGATGAAAGTCGGATCATCTACACATCGGGCCCGGGTCCGTGTATCCACTGCCTAGTACTGCCGTGCATCCTGGGTCTCAGCAAATGCCCAGTGACACAGTTTTGGGTTCAAAAATCTACGAAAACTTACGGCAAACACAGGTGTTCAGCTCATCTGCCGCGGTACTTAACAACAACAAAATCAGACAATCGAACAGCCCTGGGCGGCATCCTGGACAGATACCGCAGAAGAGTTCCTTCAAAGACTAACAGGAAAGAGTCCAGAGGGCCCAAATCTTAAACAAGACAATGCTGTTGATCGTGGGGATTTCGCTGCCGAGACCAACGATGAACACAATAGGGAAAATGCGGATGAGCAGTTCAATGGCTGCTGCAGGGCCAAGTTTCCACCTTTAAGAGAAATGACAGGGCAATGAACGTGTTCAATTCGCACTACTACTGGGCAGGACCTGGAAGAGGTTCAAGGAGTTCTCGAACAATGTCAGCTGTACCTGGCAAGACTCTGCCCGGACAAAGACGTGGGGGCGGTCCACATAAAGCAGCAATAATCGGTGATGGTACTGCATCTTTCGCTGGGGGTAGTCGAGCTTGCAGCGGGCTGAAAATTGAAACATCTTAGCGCGTCGAGTGCAGGCTACTATGCAGCGCTCCTCCACCTTACGCTAACATGACTCGAAGGCTTCTGAATGGCACAGCCTTGGCTGGCTTGATCTCACCTAACAGTATAACCGAATGAAGTGCAAACTTGCAGTTCGATCGAGCCCCTCATTGAAGTCTGCATGAAATATTACTTGCTGGTAAATTCAGCATGCATGGAGACCTTGCTCGTTGGACTACACCATCTGCAAAATCTGAATCTTCCCCCCTTATCCTTATCCCATGCAATGAACCTCCCTGCCTAACACAGAACTCCACGAGCGCTCGCCAAGGAAGGGCAGTACCACAAGGCAGCCCTCATACCTTTCACAGGACTCCCGCGCTGGCGTAAGTTGGCAAACACCAGGCTCATGCAGGCTCGATAGTGCATAGCCTAGTGAGCCACAATCCACACTGTTGTCGGGGCATTCTAGGGCGCATGTGCGCATGCAAAACGGAAACCTTCATACAGAGCTCCTCAAGGCAAAAAAATGCTGCTAAGGTCCTCAAGTGCAAACGCTTCCGATATGCAGATGGCATGGTCAGTGTAGCTGCCTCAAAGATGCCTTTGGTCAGTCAACGAGCTTGGGCACATCAATTTACGCGAAGCCCCGCCTAAAGCAGGGCAGTGGCCGATCAGGAGAAACCTGCCAGGCTGTGGCAGAATAGCAGAATCATCCTGTTCTTGGGCACAGAGCTGCTAGATTTGCCACAGTTCGAAATGTTTGCCTTCAACCTTCTGCTGTTCACTGGGACTTGTAAAGTGTCAGGAAGTATCGACGCGAAGCTCTGCGCGTCGTGCCCTCTCTCTTGAGATCTTAGAATGCTTCAGAAGGAGGTGTCCAAGGCAGCACTTTCACTCTCCATGCTGGGGGCAACAGCTGGCAGTTGTGGCGCTCTTGGCTGGGCACGGCTCTCTGGCCAATTGAGAAATGCTTCTGCAGGCCAACTGGGCCCTTGCAGGCAGCAGCAGAAAGCGATCAAGTCAACACCTCTACATTGGCAAAAGTGAAGCACAACTATGCAGCTGCCTGCGAGATGCGAAAAAAAATGCAATACATAAAACTCTTGACCGGACGCCTGCACAACCTGTGGAGGGCGATGCCTCAGTGAGGTTGAATTGGGCGTGGGCTTTCAAGGTGAAAAGATTGCTGGGTTGAAAAAAGGCTAGATGCCGTTGACATCGACTTACTGCATGCAGATGTTGATAGGAGTCTCGGTCGAAGGCTGTCTCACGCTGTTGGCGCTTGAGTCTCAATAACCATGCTACAACCCAAGTTGGTGTTGCTTTTGGGTGGGCTTGGCTTTCGGGAAATCCACTTGCCATCCAGCTGACAGTCATCGAAAAGCATGTGCCCGAGTTGAGCCTCAATAGTTTTGCTGTGAACGCACCGTCATACTTGGACGTCTTGCGGAAATGCTGCAGGTCACGATCTACAGTGGGGTCAAGCAAGCCCTAGTCAGAATTTCTTCCCATAAAGGAAGAACCTGACAAAAGCGATGAATACTTGACAAGGGTCTACACTCCACAGCAGAATCCGTTCTCATTGCATCACCATAGCAGGCACCGCATGATGGCAAGCACCGTAGTAAAAACGGTAACAAGTATCTAGCCACGCTGCCCGGAACCCAGATAGGAGCCAGGCGGGTACTGAGGTGGGAAGGAGATCTCAAACTGGATCGCGTCTGGGAAGCAGGATTAAGCATGTATCGACCGCGATTTGGTTTCATGTTGTTGGACTGCGGCGACCTTTCAAAGGCCCAAAGCCACCATCTTACCAAGCACTTGCTTGCGCGATGTTGCTGTCCGAAATGTCGTACACACCTGTTACCCCCTGGTTGTACAAAGCTCGGAGTCAGTCATAGGCAGTTGAACAAGAATTGCAGAGTTCCCTGAAACACGACGAGCACTTGCACACAGGCGTTACTATTTGTACCAGAGCCTTAGTAGACAGAATGCGCGCCTTTCTCGATGCCAGCGCAGTCAATGTCAACCTCAAGCAGTGCCCACGGCTTAGGGCTGGGGGATGGGGATAGGATTTGTGCAGCATGCCATGCGTGGATGTGACCGAGATCCACATCTTAGGTGGAACATGGTGGAACAAAGTACAGGAAGCGTTGGGATGCATGCTAGCAAGAGGCCACAGCCTATGTTGCCTTTTGTACTGTCCTCGAGTTCTTGGAACAAGTCTCTCTCAGGCATGCCAACAATTTCTAAGCCATTACGCAAGATTCGCTTTTCATGAAGCGAGGTTGCTGTGGTGACGTTCAGCCCATGTTCTGCGCTGGCTACACTTTACTTGAACGTTTACTTTTCTGTAGCCGCTTGGCTACTGTACTAGTGCGGGCGACAGGTAGAGATATCATTGGCCATCCGAAGACTCCTTTGTCCATCTGCAGGGGCAAAGCACACAAAACGAGTGACACCCAACGCCCCGAGCCCTGCAAGACCGACAAGTCATCCCTGAAAATCAACCCTGAACCCTGATCCGCAAACTACTTAAATCATATAAGCCCAGGCTTGACACACTGGACTTCCAACAAATCCCGGACTCGAGGCCAAGCTGCACGTCTTGTGCAGAAGGTTTCTGAGGGTCCTGCCGTTGCGCGAAGTTGTTCTGGCTCGACGGAGACCTGCACCTCAAAGAAACACGCGTGACCTGGTTGCCCTGTAGCGTTTAGGGAATTCTGGCTGCTCACAGTTAGCATGAGTGCGCAGGACGTGTTTAAAACAGAGCGTTCCCAAGCCCTTGAACAACAGAGGCAGACAAGCCCGAACTGGCCTAAAACTCAGACCTAGATGGCGTAGCCTGACAACATGTTCATCCTCCGTACAAACCTGATGGGATGCCATCAAGCTCGATTGACGTCGAACCTGGACTCCGCAACCCTCCATCCGTCTTGAACACAAGCCCCAGCCCCAGCCAGACCTGTGGACAAAGGTCCAGATTCTCTTCCGCCTTCACAGCTTGGCAAAGCCGAACTCGACTGCTTGGAGATATCTTGTGGTTTGCACATTCAAGCCATGAGAGTGCAGATGCGGGCCGAGCAGGTGCTGCGCACGTCAAGCACTAGCTGCCAGTTGAGCGTATGGCATGGTAGATTTAGTTGATTGCCCTGCTACTCTAGTTGCCGAAACATCTATGTTTCTGATTGTTGCTACTTCTTGCGTGCTGACAAGGCCAGAGGCTTTCACAAGACTGATTTCCTGGACGCTTCTGGCTTCGTCATGGAATGGCCGACGATGCTAACCTTTGAAAGGAGACGTTCAGGTGCCTGATGATATCCTGTGATTCTTGCAATTAGTTGAGTACTATACTAGCTACTTACAGATGAATCAGATATGCAGCCCATCAACATTCTCTAGGTAGCTTTACGTCTCTTGTTACTGATGGCCTTGAGGTTTTGTGCTGCACACTAAGCAACAAATAGATTTAAATTGCACCAACGGAGAACTTCCCCTTTGTCCACAAGCCTGCAAAACATTGCAAAACCAGTACCTCGCGCTGTAGCCGCAGCTGGCCGAGTGTTGGCCGTAGGCGCATGCCTCAGATCGACTCCACTCAGCTCTAAGGTTTGTGTCAGCTTGAAGGCGCGACTTCTCTCTTCGAGAATGAGAGCTCTTGATGGGGATCAGCTCCTGAGAAGCTGGCGCTTCATCTTTGGGAGCAGCGCTGCCTTGGAAGGGCTTGCTGGAAGGGTCTGCTGGGCGCCTTTACTAGCGACTCAGATCAAGGTTTCAGAAAACATGCACTGCAACAAAGGCACAGCAAGCTGTGACATGTGTAGTCTTGAGACAGGGTCGCCTGCCGAAGACAATCTAGGCTAGTTCAAAACTAGAACGCTCCGCAAAGAAGCTCATCGAAGAGGCCAAAGCATTCCCTTTGCAGGACCGTGTGGAAGGTCCTTTGGGCCTTTGAGTAGGGGGTTTACATTTAACACACCCTAAAGCACATCGCAGGGGTGGCATCCAAGATCAAGAGATTGGCAAACGGCAGTTGACATGAAGCTCCAGGGAGCTAGCTTCCTTGACCCGGCCACTTCCCTCCCTGCAGCACACCGAGCCACCGCCCGCCGTCCGCCCTCCCTCCCTCTCCCTCCCTCACCCTCTCTGTCACCTGTCTGCTTTCGACCTCGGATTGTCGCTTCTTCGGGAAGGCTCCGCCAAACAAAGTAAGAATCAGGCCACAGTCAGCCAACTGCAACAAACTCTTAGGCACCCAGCGACGCAGTCATCGCCGGCTGCACCAGGCGAGACCAGCCGCTTGCGCAGCGCCTGCAAAGTAGGCAGTTTTCAGTGCGCTGCTATGGCACTCAAGTCACGAGCCCTCCAATTCAACAATTTGTGTCCCGCTTCAAGCTCCACGATTTGAAGCTACATGATAAGCAGATGAAGCTAAAGCGAAACATCGTAGCCGACACAAAACCTGACCTGGCTGCTGGGCTCGGGCCACGGAGGTCCGCTAGGGGACCTTACACACGCTCCACTTGGAAGCTTGGAAGCTCGCAGACTGTTCTATCGCTTTGACATGTTAACGCTTGCCTCAAGATGGTGCGAGGCACGCGCACATGTTTAAACTTACAGCAATGTGTAGATGCAAAGCTCTGTGAGACTCACTACTCCCAGAAACACAGCGCAGGGCTGTCGTACAAGCTCAACAATCTCTACAAAGTATCTTTGAGTCTCAAACTGTCACCAAGTCAAGTCACCAGACGCATCCAAATGCTTTGCTGCAGCCACACAAGCTCCATCAAGCTCCAAGCAGCAGCGGTGGTGGCGTCTTATCTACACCCAGGTCTGAACCTTGGTCGACAAACGAAAGCTCAACAGACAATAGAAGTTCATCTTCCATGTGGGGAACCCCAGGTACACAAGCGGCAGGGGCCTCGCGATGAAACTGCTGAAGCTCCAAGCATCCAGAATGCGTTGTATTCCCGCAGATATCAACCTATCCACCACAAAACTAAGTCTAATTCTTGTTGATCCTTGGCATCTCCGGACAGATGAGACGCTAACTTAATAGACAAGAAAAGCATTCATCTTCTTGCATTCAGTATCAAGGCATGACCTCGGAAAACATTGACTTTACACTGCAAGTCCTCATGCCCTCAGACTGCAGGCCCTCCTCTGCCCTGAGCCTGGAAAAGTCAGTGTCCTTTACCCCACCTCCCAAATCTTGAGCCTGCAAAAATCCGGCCCCCAGACTCAACCTCTACCTGCCTTCGAAAGCACAGAGTCTACACTACTGACGTATGCTGACAGAATGACAATTGAAACAGATGGCGGCGACAGCAGGCATGTCAACAGAAAGGCAGCTTGAAGTTGACAGGGCTCAGCACTGAGGAAAAACCCACAACTGCATGTGTGCTAGGGTAATCCTACTGCTAGACTGCGCCATGCGCCCTTTGCTAGTGCACAACCTTCTGAACCTGAAACAGAGGCCCATCAGCCTAACCCTAAGCACAAGATGGTTCTCCTCAAGCCGACCAGAGATTGCAAAGCTCTGACAGCTCCCAGCCGACCTCATTAGGATGAGCCCGGGACGGTTAGCACGGGACGGCGATGGACTTCTCTTCGGCGACTGTAAGGAGGCTCATTAGGGTCAAAGGGTTTCGGCATGGCCGGGCATGATGGCTTCACTGAAACTCTGCCTGAGACAACTTTGTGACCTAGTGGCCTTTTGGGATGGCACACAGAATCTGACAGCACTGTCAATATGAGCATTGTTTTTCTCGAATGCTCAGCAGAAAGGTTCCTGGTTTTGAAGGTTGGGGTCCAGGAGTCCAGGAAATAGCCACTCATCGACGCTTTTCTGTGTGCAAGCGTCGGCGAGCGTCGCGACCCAGCTGGATGCCCCGAGGGTCGCGATCTGTCGAACTTTTGGACATTCGCATGTCAAAAGTGCCAGCTGTCACAGGGATGCGGGCCCCTTGAGGTCGCCATCCTCATAACTGTTGTCGCTTTGGAGCCTAGATGTGTCATCACGTCGTGTCAAAAGTGTGTGTTTTGGGGTCGGCATCCTTGTAGCTTTTTGGCTCTGGTGTCTTGGTCGTGTGTCAACAGTGCCAACTGTCACCGGGCTGCGGGCCCTTGGGGTAGCGTCCTTGTAACTGTTGTCGCAAGGAGTGAAGAGCGGAGAGCCTGGAGTGGGTTGGCGCAGGCGGGCGGGCGCGGGGGCCCGGAGTTCGTGTCGTGCGTTACATCTGTTAGCTTCGCGATGTACGTGACACGTGTCTGCATTCGGGTTCGTGGCTCACATCAGAAGTTAGACTTCTTGTGCTCACGTAGAGTGCCTACGCAAACTACGCCGGTTTTCCCTGCAGAACGCTGTTGTTCTGTCCCTGCAGAACAGACTACACCAACACACTCTTGCGATGGTGCTGCCTACTACGCGGTATTCCTGGGCTATAGACAATTCTAGCAGCACGAGCTTGCTTCCAAAACATACAGACTACGCAGGCTACACGGATGAGACTACCTACAGTATACGTGCCTATGCAAAACTATGCCACAACTACGCCGCGCAGGCCAAAGGCTACGCGAGAATTTTTGCAGTATCACCTCCATCATAGCCATTAACCAAAAAACGCCGCTCATCCGGGTCCTAGGCTCAAACAATGAACCACCAGCAGCTTGAATCAGAGACATCCCCGCACCGGTTTTGGGTGGCTTTGGTGTACTCAAAGTGAACAAAAGGGCCACTAAATCCAGTCTCCACATCCCCAATCTCGCGTCTGGTCGCCTTGATCGGCTCTTGCAGCTCCTGCAACCTCACAGGGCACACGAGGCAAAGGAGTGCCTAATTACCAGTCTGCAAGGCTGTCTAGGTCCGTTTTCATGTCTGCAGGCTTCGTGATGCAGAGCATCCACATGTTCAAGTTGTGCTTCTGACCATTCTACTTGCTGAGAGGGTGTTTTGCCCTCAGGTAGCTTCATGACATTGTCATCTGCACACCTCGGATCCTGGCAGCAACCTCTTGCTCAAACCTAGACTGGCGACTCAGAGGCATCATGCAGACCCTCGAAACTGCAAGAGCTACGAAATGCTGCAAACCTTGAATCATTGAACAGCAAAAGCCGGAAATTTTCATAGCCCACAGCGTCCTCTGGCATGTGCAGAAGTCCATGGCTGATTCGCAGGTCACCTCTTTCAAAGGTCTGCTTGCAGCTGGAGCGGATGTGTGGGCAAGAGAAGGCTAGGCTCAAACTTTTGGAGCGGATCTAGCAAAGAAAGATTCCGTTTAGATCCAATCTGTGCGATCATCGCAGCCAGCGCCTTTTGCTTCTCGTGACTCACTGTCCCCTGGCCTGTGAAATGTGAAAACCTTTCCAACCTCCTCTCCTTCTACCTCATTCTAGATTCCAGAGCTCCGGACAGGCAATCGGAAAGACGGTGAAGATTGCAACCCAAAAAGAGGTGATGCCAAACACACACTTAGGTGACGTGCCCGACGTGACCTGCGGGTGCCCCACAAAAGCAGAAGCAAAGTCAAGCACACCCATCCGGTCCTTAACCTTGACTTCTGAATCCAGCCCTCCCTGAACTGGGTGAATGAGGAAAGTGGAAAGTTGCAATCAAGGCCACAACTCGCAAGTAAGCAACATCATGGTGACTGACTTATCTGACAAATAGCGGCTGTGTACTGTTTGTTTTCTTGCGCTCTTGGACTATCATAGCAGCTCCTGGAAATGCGAGTTGATTCGCAATGCCCCAGTGGAGGTAGCCATGAAAATTCGGGCCTGCATGGCTTGCACTGCTTGGAAGGGAGCTGCAGCCAAGGTCAGACCTTCCAAAGGCTTCTAAAGGCTGCCGCTTGAAAGTATAGCCTCGTCGCCCATGGCCTCTGCCATGGGTGGTGCTACCATGATCGGCAGGGCATCCCGGTTGACGGTAGGAGGGCTCAGGGGGGCCAGTCGGTCTGCAGATGCAAGATCCAGAGTCTTGTGCAGGGAGTAGTTGTAACAACCTGCGTCACAACTCCCTCTGAGAGTACAGCTGTGCTGATTTTGCTAAGAGCGTGGAAAATACAAGACAACCCATCTGCATAGGCTGCAATCGTAGCGTTGCAGATCACACTGGCTCAAGAAGCAACATGTGAAAACACGACAGACCAGCTCGCACAGCCGAAGTGAATACTGCTCTCGTATACATGTACCAGCCAGCCTGAGCCAAAACAAGCGAGTTGCAACACGGGCGGTTCTTGAAGGCCTGCCTGATAAACATGTGCCGCCATACCATAGAGCCAGAAAACCAAGTCTCAAACCGTCAAGTATACCTCATGTTTGCGCACATATGCTCAGTAAATAACTCTTAGAAGCTTTGTTGCAACGAGAGAAAGGTGGGCGTGAGGAAGCAACTGTGCAACATGAGCGCGCGCCCCACCTTAGCGTCTCCATGTCAAACTGTATTAAACCGATGGGTCAGGCTCTTCAGAAGGTGCTGCAGCACAGCGCTATGGGATTTTGCATCACTTGTCGCTGAAATGTTGGCCCGTTTTGGAATACGTGCGACTATACATGGGATTCCAACCAGGTAATCCTGACTCAGGCCAGCAGGAGCTTGAATTGAAAGGGAAATGAAAGGGAAACCAGTTGAGAGCCCTGAATGTGAATCACTCAAGTTGATGTAAGATGATTGAGTAGAATCGCGCGACACGCTGTGTCATGGGTCCATCAGCTGGAAAATGTGGATGACACTATCAATACTCAGGATAACCATGCCAGCGCATCGTCTTGAAATACCTTGAAGTTGTGGCTTCTATCACGTCAGCTCAGGGTGCTCAGAATCGTGATTGTGGAACACCATACCGCACAAGATTCCATTCGGAATTGCCTGGATGGCACCGTGCAGAAACACAGTTCCAAGATCTGTCACCTTTTTCTTCCGGCCCTGACAAGGCTGAATTTCGCCCAGGTGCTGCCAACTGAGTAGAAACGAATAAAGATAGAAAGCCCTTATCCGTTTATCCGAGTAGCCTCTTGCCTTGGCTCTAGGTTTCGATACAGAATGAAAACATAGCGGAAAGAGTCGGTACATGAGGTTGAGGTAAGGCCAGTTTGATGTTCCAAGCTCCGCTTCTCAAGACTTCAGACTAGTGAGCCGAGGGGCCGTCTGCAGCAACACAAGCACGACGTCCCGCAACGCGTTAACATGAAGTAGATGTGCTCTTAACAAAAATCAAGTGAAACACCTGCTACCTTGTGGTGAGACCTGTTCTGAAACTACCCTGCCACCACTCTGCACGGATCCCACTGCTGCTCTCAATGAGGGCTGCAAAAGTCAGGAGTCGTAGGCTTGGGGCCTGTGAGGCTTGGATCTAGCTCGTGGATGGAGGGACAATTGGCATTTTCACGTCGCTCGCGCATTTGCGCAGGACCTCAGGCGAGAATGCAATTCGAAAGTGGAGCCGGACTTTCTTTCCCTTGATTGCCAGCGAATTAACAACCCCACCCCCCGCTGAAAGCTCTTTACAGCCTCTTTGGAAATCAATGTCTTTGCCAATTCCAAAGCTGAAACACATATCTTGTGAGCAGCACTTCTTCTTAATGACATCGGCTACTCTCCAGTAATTTGACACTA